GGTTCTTACTACCTAAGAATAAATTTCTTATCATTTTATATTCTTGAACCTAGAGTTTTTGTACAGTAATAAGTGATAGCATTTATTAAGAATTTACTCTGTACCAGAGACTTCGCTAAAGATATTAGCTTACTTTATCCATACAACAGCAATGAGATATTTTCTACTATCCCTCTTTCACCGATGAAAAAATATGTAAGCTATCTTTTGAGATAGTGAGGAAAGCAATTAAATGAAGGCATTTGCAAAAATATTGAGGAGAGATTCAGTAAGCTTTCTTTCACAGAAAGTGGCTTTACAACAGTAATTACATTTTAATTCAGTGTTCTAAACTCAAAAATGTATTGCTGAAGGGCTATTAAGGCTTATTACCAATACTAGCAAACTGAATCCAGTATGAACAAGGCATCATTTCCAAAATAGTATATATGATAGGAAAAAAAAAAGCTGAAATGCACTTTGCAATTGGTCATTGCTCTCAGGGACAATGTTAACAGTCATTTACTCATTTATTTCCCTGTTTATTGAGCATATACTGTGTCCAAGGCAGACTTACACATACTGGTTACCTCCTCTTATCTGTGGGAAGTAATTTAAATTATTGTATGAAATTTGATTAAGCTGATTACAAAATTGTGAAACACAATGGAACCCAAACGAGGGCCAATGCTCATTTCCTAAATGAACATTTTATGTGCAAACAAACAGCTGCTGGAATTCAACAGAATTTAAAGCAAGCTGTTTGTAAATTTTACTGACAGCTGGTTTTGGTGATTTTTGTCAACAGAATTTTCCTGCTTTGCATCACAACTTTTTTTTTTTTATAGTGTCCCCTCAAAGAATAACTTGCTTGCTTTAATCACGTTTACAGAGATTTATGACTTGATGCTTATTCAGTGGTAGAGCTTCCCAATACAAAATGTCAGTGAGCCTGTTATAAATTGCTTCTGGCATTCCTACTCTATCTTTTATTTGGCTGGGAGTGTTTCCACCTGAAAGTGATAAATTCCTGCTATAACCGCTTTATGTGCTTCAGTAATTACACTGTAGAGAAAAAGGGGGTTTCTACTGAGGTGTCTCCTTAAAAACAGCAAGCAATAAAAGACAGCGGAATGGGCTGAACTCTGAAGTCTGTTGGACTAAAAAACAATGACCAGTGAAATATCTGTGTTAGACTGAATGTGATAAATGATCAGGAAATACAGAAGACACCAAAACCTTTAAAACCACGGCTGAAGGGACATATTAAAGTGACTATGTTTTTAGACTACGTATTTTTGATTCTGTGACAGAAATTTGGCAGGTGCTGACAAGAATGGGGCTAACATCCTTTCAAAAACCATTTCAAAATATCTAGATGCTTCCAGAGATTTAGGTAATTTTTCAGTAAATGCCAAGATCAGCACGACATTGAGACTGTGTTTATAGGTGCAACTCAAGGAGACTGCAGCCACTAACTTGATCAGTACATATATGTTCAACTGTACTGGTCAAGAAGGTATCCAGGCATCCATATTCATCATATGGCATCCATCAGTGGTGGGCACTGGTTAGTTTTGGCCATACTATTTAGTTTGCTTCATATAAGCTGTCTATAGTACACCAGACAAAATTACTATTTTTAATTAATGAGAGGTTTTTATTTGCTCTTAAAGGAGGAACAAAATGTTGTAAATAAAAGATCTCCAAGTTAATTGAACAAAAACTGTAAGAATTTTCATTATCAGGGTCCTAATATCATGCCAAGGGTGGTGTTGGGAATTCAGCAGATACTTCATTTCAGATGCTACTAAAGGAGATTATGATCATTAAACACAATTCAAGCTTCCTTTCAGAGTTATCGCATAACATTTGCAAAAGAATTGCTATAGCAAGTATCTCTGTTCCATTGTCACGGAATGAGCGGCTCCTTCTTGCTCGCAAGATGTACTCTTTCATAAGAGAATTTTAAAGCAAGCGTAACTGTCTTAGTGAGACTCAACAATGCTGAAACCAGTTCTAAAAATGGGAATATGTGTTAAGCACTAACTGTGAGTTAAGCTTTAACATATGTATTAAAGTTCAGTACAGTCCATTGTGAAGGGATTTGCATTGGCTGTGCTGCGTTCCTGGTTTAGAACACTTTCATAGTTTGTAATTCCTTTCTCACACCAATCCGACAAGTGTGAGGTTGGTATACATTAATCCTACGTTTGCAAAAGATGAAACTAAGTTCCAAGATCAGTTAAACAGAGAGCCCATGGGCGCCGTTCTGGGAAGTGGCAGGGCCTGCTGTATAATCCAGTTCTACTTGACTCCAGAGCTCTATGGCACTTAATCATTATGCCACACTGGGTGCCAGAAAAAAATGGCACAGTGCTCATGACTTTAACTGAGGTTAATGGCATTTTCACATATGAAGGCTAGCTCAGTCAAGTGTCGAGAGCAGACACCGCACTCCCAGATGCTGTGGAGGTTTGTTCCACTCCATCAATTACTATTTGATTGCTCTTTATCAATTGTTTTCAAACTGCATTTTCTGGGGGAGAACTCTAGGTTTCATAGAGGTCCTTGCAAATGAAATTTGTATCTGTCAAAGAGAATGCCCTCAAAAGAATTGAGGTGGTTGATTTCACTGCATGACACCATAATTAAAAGCCAGAGAGGAATTGGCGCTCATGCCGAACTTGTAAGATAGCTCACTTTCCACCGGCTGTGTGTCTGGGTATTATGCTCATCCCATTTTGCTTGTTATATATGTGTATCCAAGTGAATATGAGGAAGATTTACTACTTGTAAAATACTTCACAATAGAAGACAAAAATTAGCATTTAGACTGTTTTCAACAAACTGTTATATTAATCCTGAAGATTGGGAAAGAGAAGCAGGTCAGAGATGCCTTGGGAGTACAGAACACAGATGGTAATCAAAGCAGTGGGGGGTGGGGGAGGGCGTGGAGAGAGAAGGACAGGTAAACAGGCTAAAACAAGCCAATTTGTATGCCTCAGAATCCCCCCTGGGACCAGAGTATTACATTGGGGTAGGATGAATAATTTTGGAAGAGTTGAAATTTCTGGGGAATACTGCTTAATTGGAAGAGGAGGAGGATAGACTAAGAATGAAATGGAGCAACAAACCTAAACTTTGATGAACTCAGAAGGTACCTGCAGGGAAATGGAAAGGGAAATAAGATACCATTTTTAAAGTGGAGAGAGGTTATTGTTACTGCCTTAAACTAAGGCTTTACCAGGACCCTATAGATGGACTGGATTTCCCTGGGGAAATTTTCTCTGAAGTGAGAGTTCCAGGATTTCACACATTTTTGGTGTATCTCATTCTGGACAGATCACCCATCTTCTACTCACACACAGAAATGGACATGGGAGAAAGAATCAGCTCTTGAAATTCAGGATCCAGAGCTGAGAGGAAGAGCTGGTTCCAAAACACTATCTTTTATCTCCATGAAAAGCAGAGCATCATCCACCTGAGCTGTAGTAGAGAAGGCTGGGAGGAAGCAAATGGAAGGGGAAATTGCAGATGGGAGAGTACTCTTGCCTGTCCTCTTGACCAGTTTGCTATGGCCACCATTAAACAGCTACCAAGAATTTCATGAGCCTTGGGGAGAGGTAATGAGGCAACAGGGGAGGGAAGGAAAAGAGGAAACTAGTGGGAGAAAAAAAATCATTGCACCTGTGTCATAATTCAATTAATAGCACTGTACAAACAAGCCAGAAACAATTACTTGGTCCTCAAAGCATTTTACCAAAATGTGAAATTTTCATTTACTCTAATCACAGTTAAATTATGCCCTAATTTTTAAAAATCTGATAAAAATAGTGAATGTTATTGTATGGTAAGTAAAGCAGTACTGAATATATATTACATATGTTCATCTTCATATTAGTTTTGAGTAATTATAGGTGATTTTACATTAGCTCATTTAACAGTCCCGCAGATCTACAGGATAAATATAATCCCCATTTTTTTTTCAGATAAGGAAACAAATGCTTAGAGAACTTAAGACTTAATTGAAATTACAGAATTATTCAGTGGAGGAAGTGGGATTAGAAGTAGGACTGACTCCTGAAATTTCTGACTCTCTCCATTATACACTATAGCATCTCTTCAAGTTTATTTAACATTTTCAGTTTTCTAGAGTTTGATTTCTCTGTACAGAGTAAGCGATGGCTTAACAGGGTTAATAATCAAGGATTAACTTCTTGGCTAACTCTGAGTTTAAAAAATGTATATATATGTATGTGTGTGTGTATATAAACATATTTGGTTAGTTTAATGTGCTATGGTAGGCCAGTTAAAACTCTCGTTTTACTCGTTCCGCTTCTACTAACCAAAGGTTTATTTGGAAATGTTTTAGATGGCTGCGGTGAAGCCTAAAGATTGAAGAGGATCTAGGTGGACACCGGGATACCAGCTAGAAGACTAATGGGAACAATCCAGGTGAAGACGAGACATCTGGGCCTGTTGTGAAGACGGAGAGGGGTGGGGAAAAATTTGGCATTGAAGTGAATGGAGAGGGTGAAGGGGTGCGCAGTAGGTGTTATCTTTAAAAATGTCCATCAATGAAAAGCCTGAGGTGGGGGTGGGGAGAGAACAGAAAATTACTTTTTTAGGAATTAGAGTGGCACCTTCAGTGTCATGAGCAAAGCCCAACAGTAGTCAAAACAGCACTCCTTATTGATAACGTTCAACTAAAAGTTTCTTGGTTTGTGATTTTCCATCAATTAAATTCAGCTAAGGGGCCACTGAACCGTCGTTGTTCCAGGAAAACAAGGACTTGCTCCAGTTCTTGCCTTTACCCCTCCAGGCGGACCCGCCCCCTTTCCCGCCAACAACTATGGCAGCCGCCCCCCTCCCCGAGGCTTGCCCCGCCCCGAGATCCCGCCCACCAGAGCTTAAGTATGCTTTCGAGGCCCCGCCCCTCCTGGGCCCGCGCGCCTGGACTTCTGGCGCCTTTCGGCCTCGCCCCGTCCGCGCCCCGCCCACCCCGCGCGCCCCGCCCCTTAGGCGTCCAGCGGTCCGAGACGCGGGAGCAGCTGGGGCCGGGGTCCCGGCGCAGGCCTGCGGTGTCTCGGTGATTGCTTTAGTCCGCCCTGCCTCCTGCTCTCCGAGGAGCCTTTCCCGCGAAGGCGGGGCGATGCCGGGGAACCGGCAGCTGAGGGTCCGCTCCGGGAACGAGCATCGTCCCGCGCCCGCCATGGAGCCGGCAGGTCGCGAGGTCTGGGCCCACAGCCGCGCGGCGCTCGACCGGCTGGAGAAACTGCTGCGCTGCTCGCGCTGGTAAAGCCAGACCCTCGACTCGAGGGGGTTGCCGGGAGGGTCGCGGCGCGGGCGGGGGTCGTCCCAGTCTCGGGGGCGGGAGGTCTTTTCAGACTTCCGGTTTCTTCGGTTCATCCCCGCTCCGCAGCTGGGCTGGCTAGCCGATTTAGGACTTGCCCGGGGATCTGTGTTACTTAACTCCACTCTGACCCCTATTCACATCGTTTCTGGGAGGCTTTCTAGCCTTTCCTTGCACCAAACCCAACTAAGATGGTAGTTTTCGAACTTTGGCGGGCTTGAGAAGCGTCTGGAGGTGTGGCTAAAAATGCAGATCCCCATTCCCGCCACCAGAGTTTGAATCTGTAGGGCTGAGGCATCAATCGTTGACAGGGCCTCGGATTCTTGTAACGAGGGTAATTCCAGAACCTTAGGCCGAGGGCTGTTAAGTTTAAAGAGGCGCGCCAAGTTTGCAGCAGCTGTCACTCTTTGCTTAGCTGGCCCTTTTAACCTTTTCTCGGTAGCAACTTTATGGAGGGAGAGTTTTGGGGACCCTCGTTGGGGATAGATTGAAGGTTAATAGTGTGATGGGCACCACCAACTTCTCGTTCAATTTGACATTTCCTTGGTTTGATCAAAGACTGTGTGGCATGGGGTTCATTAGAGAGGCTATTTATTATTTTTTGCTGCTTATTTTCCTTCATGCTCTTACACGGTAGGAATCCTTTCAGTTCAAGGTTTTCATTCCATCTGAAGACATCATTTTTATGACTGGTACTCACCTTGCTTCTCCTTTTCCTGTAGCTTTTCCTAGTGTAAAAATCAAGAAGGTTTATAAAAACCCAAGAAGGGCTTGCCTCACTTCATTTCTTCCAAAAGCACTTATCGAGCACCTGCTGTGTGCACAGCTGCTTCTGCATCAGTATCACTCTGGCAGGTTTTCTCTGTAGCTGTTTCTTTGAATGCGTATTTTAACATAGGACTTTGCAGACTTTTCTCTGTTAAAAGTCTACAGTGAATATTTTAGGCTTTGCTGGCCACAAAGAGTCTTAGTTTTTATTATTATTATTATTTTTTACTACTCTTAGAAACCTAAAAAAGTTCTTAGCTCAAGGGCTGTACAGAAACAGGCTACTGGCTTGATTTGGTGCATAGGCAGTAGTTTGCCAAACTCTTGTTTTAACAGGTAAAATGACTTAACGTTAAAAATTCTTTTTGGTGTAAAATTTTATATCACAAAGGGTTTAATGTTTAGAAATGATTTGTGTTCCTCTCCCTGTCGCTGCACGTTTGTTACTGTCTGCAGTGAGTAAAACACGGCCAGTTGCTCTTTACCTATGGGAAGACAGCCATCCCATTCTTTCCACCTGTGCTCTGCCTAGTAGCTGCCTGACATCACTGCTCCAAAGGAGCAACTCAGGATGGTCGGCTTCTTGCTTTTGTTACCCATCATTCAGAACAATTTCATATTATTTGAAATAGTGTGTCAGTATGTTCTTTTTACAGAGCTTCAAAGTTTTACCCAGTGGGTTAGTGATTACCACAATTACCCTCACATTCAGCCTGCAGCTGTCATCCGTCTCTCGCTCCCAGCTGTCACCTGTCCTGTGTAGCGCGTTGGTTGTGTTTTGCAGCAAGCATTACTTGCAGGTGAGGGTGGATTGGCTGCATTACAGGGCATCCTTTCTTGGCCTTTAACATAAGTATAACTCCAAGATGAAGCTGACAAAATTGTTCAAGAAGCCAGATGTGGCTTTTGTGTTAGGTCCAAACCTCACCATCAAATAGAAGCTATTTAAAGATTTGGAAAAATAAGGCAGGAAGACTGTATCATTTGAGATGCTGGCGGAAAGCATGGGAATAATGTGTTCCTGAAAGAAGCAGGGAATGATGATGGTAGGAGCTGTAGTGTAAAAAGCCCAGGTATCATATGACACTGTGAATAAAAATAATTTGGCACCTTGATATATTTGGGGGGGGTGGCATCTACTACAATTGTAATTTGGAGTTCTAGTGCCTTTAAATCAACTTTTCATAAAAAGTCAAAGTCTTGTGACTTTTAAGGTAAGTGATTTTATTTTTCTAAATTACCTCTTGTTGTTTTAGTAAAGGTGATTAAGATTGTTTTCTCTTACATTTTAGACAGCATAGGTTAGTGGTTAAGAGAATGGATTTTGGACCCTGGCTTCAAATCCTGGCTCGGTGATTTTGGACAAACTGTTTCCTCTTTGTATTCTTCCTTTTCTTCATCTGCCAAATGAGCTGGTAGTAGTTTTTACCTTACAAGTTTGCTAGGGGAATTAATTGGGTTAATATTGATAAAGTACTTAGAGCAGCGCCTGTTGCGTTCTCACTGCTATATGGATGCTTGCAAAATAAAGGATAGATTTCCTGACTCCAGCATATAGCTTTTGTCTTTCTCCGTTAGTTTTCAATGTTCAGAGGCGTTCTTAGAGGCCATTGAGTCTTAAATGGGATGACTACTCCCTTCCATGTGCTCTGGTACTGCTTAATCGTTAGGACAAGCAATCACTGAGGCACTGCGTTAGTGGTGATGCAGTGAGACTTTCTACCCTTAGGAGCGTATGTTTAGGAGATAAAATTTACACATAGTTCAGGCTGAATTATGATGGAGGCCAAGGGGTTTCTGAGAAGAGTACTTGGGTAGGGTCAGTGGAGGAAAGCTTCCTGGACTTTTGAATTAGGGCATGGATAGATTTTTATAGATATAACTTGGAGGATTATAGCAAATAAAGATATGCTAAAAAGTATGCAGAATAAAGGTGGAGTGAATGAGTCAGGTGGGCAGAGAGTTAAGACAAGGTCAGATGCTAGCGATTAGAAGCCCAACAGACGATTCAGTTGTTTCACATAGTTACTCCCTAAGGAGAGCATCTGGGAAGTCTGTATCCTCATCTGTAAAGTGAGGAAAATAAATGGATGAATTGATTTTTAAGACTCTCTCCAGTTTGCAGGTTCTGGAATTATTATTGTCTATTGGATGCAAAATATTGTTTAAAACTTTTTAGTGAAGTCTGACTTAAACATGGAAAAGGACACAGGTTGTTGGTGTTCACGTCTCATATGTCCCTCCAAATTGAGGGATTTATTTACTTATGCGGTATTTTGATTCTCTGATTGACACCTGTCTCCTTCAATTATACTACACATTTCATAATTTCACATTTGAAGCCACAGTGCTGGACACATCTTAGTGTTTGTTAAATTAATACATGAAAGAGTTTGGGTTAAATTAGGATCACAGTGCAAGTGGGAATTGCAGAGGACCTGGTTAATTCATTTGAATCTCCAAGAATCCTCCACAGGTTCCAGGGGACATTACCCACAGTAAACAGTGACTAAGGTTTCAGGGCAGTGGAGAAGGTGCAGCTCTTTCCCCTTTGGATTTGGAGCTACAACCGTGACATGTGCAGTCCTGTTACAGGCTATGCATACCTGGTGTTATGTAGGGCTTGTGACTGCCAGAGAAACTACCATACACGTTGAGCTGCCTTTGATCCTGCCCTCCACAGCCCAGCAGATGCTCTTACACGGGAGATTATTGTGCCCCAGGTCGGGGCTCAGAGGAGAGGTTTTAGGCTAAGAGTACAAATTTGATAGTCAACTGCATTACGTGGTAATTGAAGACAGGTTTCTGGGATGAGCAGGAAAGAGGGTATAAACGTGAATGTCTATGTCTGAGGCTTGAAACTCATTTGAACATCATTTGGAAGACATGATGGTTTAAGGACAGAGACATGTCAGCAGTTACTTAGTTTTGCTTTAGAGGAAAAAGAATAGAAGACAGAATAACCAAAACTATTTGAGTTGGGGATACATGATATTCTCTGTGGCTTATCTGTAGTAGGTTCTATTATGATTAGTCATTAATAGAATTCTGTCGCCCCTTTACTTTTGGGATATTTGACTCATTGATTTATTCAATATTTATTGACACTAACCAGTTGACACACACATGATTTTTTATTTTTCCCATGTGATTTACTTGAATCGGGCATACAAAATAACTATGCAAAGTAAGATACTTTCATGTCATCATATCCCTTACTTGTTAACAATTTTATTTATTCTCCTCAAGATAAATCAAACAAATTGTTTAGTTGGCTTGAGGAGCCTCTGCATTTAATATTAAAATGTGTTGGTCCACTCTTAAAAAGAGCTTGGAGATTTTCTAAAATGCAAGAGCACTAGGGTAGCTATCTTGCCTAATATTGAATAGCATTTGATAACCTCACAGAAGCTTAGGGAGCCATTCAGTTAAGAAATAGGTCTTCCTCAGTATTGTAATCACAACTGAATTTACTTTCCTTTTCTTCTTTGCAAAGAAAATTTTCTATCAATAGGACTTTTTTTTTTTTTAAGTTTGTTTTCCTTGCTTAGTTCTTCCCTAAGTTGTAATCCTCTGACTGCACAAATCTTTCCAAATCGACTACGTGTAAAGTAACAAGTATGACTGCAATGGGAAAAAGTAAAGCAGCTAAATTTTCAAGGTATGGAAATCCTGTTACCATGCAAATGTCTTATTCTTTTGGATTTTTTGTTTTTAATATATATGTATATCAAACAAAAAATAGCATAAGGATAAAATAGAATTGTTAATATAAATGCGTTTTTGTGCGTTGTCTTCCACTTGGTTCATTCACTGAGGGTTTATTGAAATCCTGGTGCTCGTACAGCACCGTGCTCGGTAGGTGATGGCGTGTTGGGGAGCTCAGAAAAAATGAAATTCAAGATCTCTTGTCTGTAGGGCTACAGTCTATCTGGAGACTTAAAAAAAAAAAAAGGAATCAGGCAGATAAAATACAAAATACTTAGTTTTCAACACTGATTTCCAGAGCCCCAGCTAGATGCCGTCTCTGGAACTTAAGAGTGTTTTGTACTTAAGTCAGACGTTAACTTGGCTTATAAGAACTACCCAGCTAGATTATAAGCCCCTTAGGAAGGAGTGGAGCACAGTCAACTGGGAGTTCTGCGTATGTCTGCTGCAGGGTACAGATTTTGCATGGAAACTAAATCCCCCAAATTTCTGTACTTCTTTGTTTAGTGTCGTTTTTATTATATATCATCCTGGACAGTATTCGAAGCAGGTGTTGGGCTGGAATAGTTTTGGGGGAGGAGGAAGGGTATTCTATGCCGGGGACAGTCTGAGCAGTTGTGGGCTTGGAATTGGCTGTAAGGTGTTTGAGAGATTTTACAACAGACACTGGCCTGGTAAGAGCAGTTTTTTTTGAGCAGCAAGAGCAGAGGTTCCGTGGCTACGGAGTAACCAGATTGTGAAGAGCTTTTTAATAGTACGTTTTTGAAAAGTAATACATGCATATGCCAAAGAATTAAAACAATACGGTATATGGTCATTAAACATTTGTTAAATGAACAACAAGTAAGTCTGAATCTTCTTCAAGAGCTCACCACGATCAGTGTCTCGTGTGCCCTTTAAGAGCACTTTGTATCTTAGATGAGAGGATACCACTCATCAGGTCGATGTGTCACGGTTTATTTACCATTTCTTTGGTAAATGGTAAATACCATTTCTTTCCAGTCTTGTGCCTTAATAAACGCAAGACTTGTGCTGGAGAGAATATCCTTGTCCACGTGCCTTTACATTTTAAAGTTTTTGTTAGAGTTATACATGAACATAGTTGACAAAGTCGGTATTACAAAGACTGTAACGAGAACATTCTTTTGACTCATTCCTTGAGTTCTGTACTCCAAATACAGCTTCTTCATCTCTTAGTTCTGTAACTTTCACGTTGCCAAGTGTGTTTGTATTGCTAGTTCTTGATTTTTTTTTTCCATCTTAGACATTATTTGTTAACTTCCTAACATCCTGCTCTGGAAGATGAATTTTATTATTACCAGTTATCTGTTAACTTTCTGCTACTGAAGATGACTGGATATAGAATTCAGAGTACAAACCAATTTTCAGTCATTACTGTGAAGGCCAAACATTCCTTGTTTCCCTTGAGATGTCTTATACTGTTCTGAATCCTTTAAAAAATACATATACACACACACATACACACATATATATGACATTTTATTGTTTCTTAATCTCTGGAAGCTTTGGGTATCTTGTCTAGACAGATATCTTTAGAGTTTTGAATTTTCAATTTTGTAAGCATCTGAGATAATCTGAAGAATCATACTCTGTTCCTGGCAGTAGAATAGTTGAGTTCAAGTTCGGTACCTTTGGAATTTTGATAGATATATCTGGTTGTAACAAGAATTCTTCCAGAGGGTCTTCTCAGCGAAGCTCTAGACATTGTCAAAAGGTCTGGCTTTGACGCAGTTCAGGGCCGCCCTCTGTGGAGTGCATCTGTTCTTTGAGCTCTTCCATTAAAGTTCTTCTGAACTCGGCGCTGCCCTCTCCCAGCTTTGGCTGTAACATTGCTCTCCCTGCTCCTTCCCCAACACACACACAGGCACATACTTTTCATTCACTCTCCCAGTGTCTTGTCTCATCTATTAACAGCCATAAAAAAAATTTTCTAGGTCACTAATTAGAATAATTATTCCAATTGATCAATTATTTGTAGCTACTGGAGTCATTGCTAATTATACTGTAGCATCTTGTTGCTACGGGGAAGGGTAAGAACTGTAGATAAAGGGTTCAGAGTCACCTTAGGAAGGAAATTCAGTGTAGAAACAGAATCGAGGCATTGAGTCAGGTATTGGCAGAGAAAGCCAGAAGTCTGGGGGCTGCATCTTGGGGGTAAACCTACATTGAGAGGTAGGAAACGAAGCAGCTAAGGAAGTGCTGAAATAGGCAAATAAATGTGCTATAAGAAAATTAAAACTGAATGGAAGGAAAGGGTTCAGGAGAGAAGGTGAGGTCAGTGTTATTTCAGAGAGGTCAGGAAGAATGAGGATCACAAAATGCTTTGCTGAGCAGGTGGAGCAGAATGTGGGTGTTAAAGCCAGAAAGGTGAGGTGTTGGCGTCAGCTGGCACAGAGCACTTAGTTAACAATTTACATCTGCAAGAAAGGGAGGAGCTGGGGCAGACGGTAGAGTGGGAGGCAGGATCTAATGGGGCTTTTTAGGTTGAAGGAGACATGACCTATGCACGTTTAGTTGCCGATGGCAGATGACAGGTGATTCTAATGATGAGAACAGACTATTTCAGAAGCAGAGAAGATAAGGGATCTATGGGCAAATAGAGCAGCACAGTTTGGGAAGGAAGAATGACTAGAGGAGATCTTTTCCTCTGAGCCTGGAAGGAGGGGTAAGATTATGGGTGAAGAGGTAGGAATGCATCTAGTGGTGAAAAGCTCTCCCTGTTTGGCTTCAGTAAGGTTAATGGGATTTCGAGCTTGGGGCTTGTTTTGAATAGCCATCTATTCATTTGTTATTTTACTCACAGAATATCGAATACATCACTTTGGTAGAGATACAAAGGTGAGGACACTACCAAATGAGTTTATACAGACAAGTTTGTGTATCATTCTGTCTTTTTATAATGGCTGTCATGGCCTGAGAGCAGGCACGGCAGGAGTGGGCTGTTGGTCTGTCTGGCATTACTGATTGACACCCTTGATTGACTGAGAGGTTAGCAGAATTAAGGTGGTGGCGGGGATGGCTGTGAACTAGTAAACTCTGTTCTGGGCTGGCTAGGGGATCCAAGGAGCTAATCCTGAACGGGAGTCTCCCCAGATGGAGAGCAACCTGAACACGGAGGTTTGGTCAGGGCGCTGGGATGAAAGAGAAGAGGGATATGCTAGGAGGAGGTGAGAGAGCACCGTGTTTGAGGTCGCAGAGGCAGAGTTTGTACTGAAGTGGGGTTCAACACACTTGATTAGGAGGTCAGAGGCTAGGTTTGGGAGGCCAAATAATGAACCGAAGTTACAGGAGAAGCATGAGCTTTGTAGCAGAGATCGTCTTAATTGCCAGAATCACAGAAGTAGCTGGCACATCACAAGTCCTATTTTTTATCACTATATTCTCTGTAGTATGATAGAAAAGTCAGATATTGCGAGTTTTTGAAAAGTGATGGGTTTTATAATGTCAGTGAGCACCGTTTTCGGTATCTTGAGAATAACACTGTGGGTGTGCTCTGTTTTTAGCACTCTTCCTGAAAGCTCAATTTCACTTTAATGTTCATATCTATTAAAATGTGCAGTGTGATACATTTGATCTTTCAAGAAATGTGGAAAACAATTTTTATTGATATGTGGTATGTGTACAGAGGTAATTGGATAATAATGGTGTAAATACCTAAAGGTCCTGGGGTTAGGATAATAAACCAGGCACAGAAAGCGTCCATTTTTTAAAAGCTTTACTCCTCCTGTTTGCTCTTACCTCATTACGCCCTCTGAATATAGTGACTTGATATTTGTTCATTAGTAAGTACCATTACCTTCTTAGAATTATCTAACGTAGCAGGTGTTTTTAATGGACAATGCTGGGAGTACAGTACGGAATTGTTTGCAGACTGCCAACCAGGTTGATTCTTGTTTGCAGTTGTTTTAAATAAAAAAAAAATTAACTTCCTGTAAACTGAAAGAATGGCTGTATTTTTGATAAGACATCTGTGAAAATTAGATGGCTGCTTAACAGCAACCAGAAACCTTTTTTTTTTTTAAATGGGAAACTGTAAAATCTTATGGTCAAGGTGACCAGAGGTCCTATTTTCCTAGGGAAGTCCTGGTTTACACCTGCTATCTTATTCAGTTATCACTCCCCTTCACCCTCAGAAATGTTCTCATTTGGACAATACACTGTATCGTCATCCTACTTGTGGTCTCATTTTGAGATTTATGGCCTGCGCTTTGAATCATCAGTTGAAAGAAGCAGCCAAGGGTTGGTTTTGCCTGTCAGTGGTTCAGAGATTCTGAGCAAGGTTGCTTCTTGCTGTGGTTTCAAAGAATATTCATTATAAGAAGTGTTATAATTTGTACTGAGTTTGGTAGGTGCTATTTGAATTTAGCAGGTGTGTGATCATGCAGTATTTAATCACAGAGTAACAGCCTTTCAAATGAATACCTCCTTGATATCTTCTGTTTTGAGAAAGAATTATGGTAGTGTTGGGCCTTGGGTTTATGAAATGTTGGGTAAAAAGTGTTTATCTAACAATGACCTAGGTCTCAATTGTTTTCTTTTCTTCAAACAGCACTAATATTCTGAGGGAGCCTGTGTGCTTAGGAGGATGTGAGCACATCTTCTGTAGGTGAGTAATTACGGCTTGTGATAGATACACACACACACACACACACACACACACACACACACACACACACACACACACGTTTAATGTAACTATATGTTTCACTAGGTGATAGTCACGTAATCATATTGATACTAATATTACCTTATGTCACGTCGTTCTTGTAGACTGTACGTTATCTCATTTCGATCCTTTTAACTATCTTAATTTCCAAATCAGCTCAAACCTCAAAGAGGGTGACTTGTTGAAAATTACAAAGCTTAGTAAGTAGCTTTACTAAGCTTGGGGAAAAAATTAATACCTATTTTATAATTCACATATGTCTCTCTTATTCTTCCAGTTAGTTTTGAGTCTAGACTTTCCATGCTGTGAAAGTTTAGTTCTTGCTGTTACTGTTGTTGGCTCTTCGGGCTGCCGCAAGAGTACCAAACACGGGGTGGCTGAGAACAACAGAAACTTACTGTGTCCCAGTTCTGGAGGCTGGAAGTCTGAGAGCGAGGTGTCAGTAGGGTTGGTTCCTCCTGAGAGCTGCGAAAGGGAGCATCTGTTCTGCGCTTCTCTCCTGCTTGCGGTGGAGAATCTGGTTTCTGGCGGTCTTGAGCATTTCTGGGCTTACAGTACACAGCTCTCACCTTAGCCTTCATGCTCACGTGGCGTTCTCCCTTGTGTGCCTGTTTGTCTCTGTGTCTGGATTTCCTCTCCTAATAACAATACCAGCCATATTGGATTAGGGCTCACCCTGGTGATCTCATCTTAACTTGATTACCTTACAAAGACCCCATTTCCTAATAAGACCACATTCACAGGTCCTAAGGTTTAAGACTTAAGCATCTTTCTGGGGGACATAATTCAAGCCGTAACAGTTATTATGAAAGTATATCCATTAAAGCCCTGGCTTAGAGGTTAGAATATTAGATTTTCATCTCATCTTATTTCTCATTCAGGAGAAATCAACTAGAGGAGTGAATGTCTTAGTTTAATTGTCTGGGTGACAGGGTTAATATATCCTTCTTTGAATCAATCTTTTAATTATTTCAAGTTATGACTGTGTGATTATCTGGGATGAGCAAACTGCAATATGAAGTTTAAGCACATATGAAAATAGTTTACTGTGTGGCTTCAGTGGGCTGGGGACGTGTGGGAGGCAGCTGCACTTGGGGTCCCAGTTTTGTTTCTAGAAACAGGTCTGTTACATGGGACATATCCAGCAGGAGGCGAGGGTAGGAGGTAGTGTCTCTTGCCTTCCTGGTATCTCCGTTTGGATGACGAAATGGGATTTCAGACTTGGAATGTTCAGAGCAGGTCTGCTGATCATTCTCCCCTTTATCCCATTTCTGCCTGGGTAATCTTCGTAGCTATAAACGGTGCACTGGAATAAGTGGTACCACAGTTGCTCAAAGTAAAAACCACTAGTCATACCTGGTTGCTATTTTTCTTTCTTATTCTACATCATTAAGTTCTAATGTGCCCTAAATCTTGAACTTTCCCTTTATTTTTCTCTATTTACTACTATTTGTACTTTGGTCCAAGCCACCATCAAATTATCTCTTCTCAGACTATCATAGTAAGTTCATAGGTGGTCCCCTCCCCCATTTTCTACATTCTTATGAGTGATCTTTTGAAAATGTAAATCACATTCGTATCATTGCCTCTCTAAATTAAAATCCTTCAGTAACTTCCTATTACAATTAGAATAAAGTCCACACTCTGCACTAAGGTCCATAAGACCCTGCACAGGGCTTTGTCCCTGCCTGCCTCTTGGACCACATGTCCTTCTGGTTCGCACTGTTCAGCCACCTTCTCCTTTTAGTTCATTAAACACAGCAAATTCACTCCTGCCCCAGGACTTTTGCACTTACTGTTTCTTCCATCTGGAATGTACTTCTGCCATTTTTTTGTGAGGCTAGCTTTTCATCAGCTGTATTTCAGCTCAAATATTGTCTCCTCAGAAGGCCTCCCATTACCCTTGTATCAAATTTTGCTCGCTTCTTGTCTCTACTCAGTAGCAAGCAGATTTTTGTTTCAACGGATATACTCACTGTATATAATAGATTAGCAACAAATCTGCTAGAGCATAATAAACTCCAGTAAATTGTAAAGCATGTGTAGTGTGTGTGTTCCATACCCTTAGTTGGATTCTAAAGGGGTCTGTGACTTAAAATGACCAATGAAAGATTAGGAAAGGCATGAGAACATCTTAAAAGAGCAAATGGTCATCTGTATATGACAGAGGAAAGAATTCAGTATGGTTTTGGTTCATTTTTATTATATGATGCCAAGAATTCGGGCAGCTGTTTGTATTCTTTGCAGATTTGTAGCTCTGTAAAGCTGCTGAGCAACGCTGTAAATACCAGGCACTCTTCAAAGATAGTTTTGATATGTGCCAGGGCAACGGAAGCATTAGAGTCGAGGGGAGGTTGGAGGGACACAGATTTTTTTCTTATTGACACATTCTGGTAGTTTTAGGATCATGCCAGTGCCTAACAAAAGGAGTCTATGAACTCTTACACATATCTGTAGTTGGAAAAAGGAGGAATATTTTAGTAGTCTTTTTAGATAATTATGGATATCCTTCTTTGATACCACACCATTTGGCAAGTGTTAGTTTCTCTAGATTTTTTACAGTGTGGAATCTAAAACCCTATCAGTGAACTTTTGTACTTTGCTACATTAAATTTAATTGGTTTATCCTGTGCTTTGAAATGGATCTTTTACCCAGCATCATTTTATGACATTGTGCATTCATCATTTGGAAAATATTGGCTTATGCAGATCTATTGAGAAATGACTTATTTCCCCAGAATTCTGGTTTAAATATACAAAATAATTTGGGAACAAGACATATGTTACAGAAAATTTAAAATAGACTGATCTGCATACTAGTGTGGTCCTGGTTAAGTGTCTGAACTGGATCTCATATTCTTCATCTGAAAATGAGGTAGTGGTTACTGATGAGAAGATTTTGACTGTATTTCATTGGTGTTCCTCAAATAAATATTGCATAGCTAGCAATGATTTAAATCCCCTGAGGAATCAGTTTACCTGTTCTTTTTTTTTTTCTTGTTTGTTAACTTTATTTTTTTTATTGATTTATAATCATTTTACAATGTTGTGTCAAATTCCAGTGTTCAGCACAATTTTTCAGTCATTCATGGACATATACACACTCATTGTCACATTTTTTTCTCTGTGATTTACAGTTTACCTGTTCTGTATGTTGGGGTTCCAAGATAAGAGTTCTTAACTACAAACAAGCAAAATCAAAGAATTCCTTTCTTTGCTAGAGAAGTTTGACATTTATAGAACCCAGTGATCTAGAAGACCTCTCCTGGCCCCACTATGGTTTACAATTTCTTTTACAACACGTATTGAGTTACTTTGTGACGAGAATCATCCTAGGATCTGAGGATACAAGGACTAAAAATGCCACAGGCTTTTTTTCTGAAGGGAGCTCCTACTGCAGTAATCCTTTGTTCCTACGAATAAGAGGGTCACATGAAAAGGGATGTAGTGTTTGGAGGAGATGTGGCTTTTACCACTGTTATATTACCCAGTCCTGCTGCAGCCCACCTGGTGAAGCTAAGGAGGCAGTGGATTTATAGGTCTCTTATTTCAGAATTCACAGATAGGCTTCAGGGGGGATTGTGACCAAAATCTTGTGCACATCTTCATCAGATTCACAAAGGGTTTGTAACCCCCAAAGTTAGGAAAACCCTTCTAACTATGAGACTGTAACTTTAGACAGGGAACCCGAGGTAATTTAGTTGAGTCCACACATTATGAAAGTGTCTGAAAGAACCAAAGATCTTTTCTCAAAAACTACTTTAAAGCCTTTAGATACTTTGCAAAAACAAAAGAAAAAATACCTTCCACCATCTTTTTGTCTTAATTTTAGGTATTTCCATGAAGCACGGTGTTAGGTTCAGGGTAGGAAAGTTTGAGATGCATGGCTTGCATGCAGTAGGTACTGAATGCGTTTGTTTGTATTTCCCTCTGTACTTTCACTCTTTAGAGACTATAGATTTAACTGAATATAAAAAATAGATAAGCAGCAAGTTTATACTGTATAGCACAGGGAACCATATTCAATATCTTATAACTTAATGGTGAAAGAGAATATGGAAACGAATATATGTGTGTTCATGTATGACTGAAGCATTGTACTGTACACCAGAAATTAACTCAACATTGTAAACTGACTATACTTCAATAAAAATATTAAAAAAAACTATAGATTTACTTGCAGGGAAAAATCATGCTATTGTCTGGCCAAGTATAGTCTCTTCATAGCAAATTATATAAGCAGCTTTAGATTTAGACTGTGTGTGTGTGTTGTACTCTTTCAAAAACACTGTTTAAACTAATATAATTGACCATTGTTGGAACAGCCTCTGCATCATTTATTTCTGTTCAAACTGTTTATTTTTTTGAATTCACATTCTGCTGAATCTATTGATATCCATATATTTTTCAATCTTTTTTAAGTAATTGTGTATGTGACTGCATTGGAAGCGGATGTCCAGTGTGTTATACCCCAGCCTGGATACAAGATGTGAAAATAAATAGACAATTGGACAGCATGATCCAGCTTTGTAGTAAGCTTCGAAACTTGCTACATGACACTGATTTTTCAGGTGAGAAGTATCACTATCTCTCTTACTTAAATAACTGATAAATTCATACTGATCACATAAAGTATGTAAAATACAAATGGCATATTTCAGACTTTAATATTTAGAGTGTTAGGAATCATTTTGAGGGGTGACGGATACCTTAGAGATAATAAGTCTGACTCGCTTATTTTATCGATGAGAACCAGGATCCAGAGAGGTTAAATGATCTTGCCTGAAGGCACACGTGCAGTGAGTACCAGGAGCAGGAGAAGTGGAGCCTGCTTCCTCTGATCGTCAGTCCAGAGACTTTCGCATCACTTATTTTACTTGCTTTTTACAGTTAAAATAATTTCTGTATAATATATGTCCCTAATATATTTTGTCCCTAATAATGGTGATTTTGTCCGTAAACTTACTTAAATACACTTTTACAAGATAGAATACAACTTTCTGTGGATCACTTTTTATGAATTAATTAGATGTACGCATTTTGAAAGAGCAAAAATCTAATATTCAATTTCTTTTCTATTTAAATGGAGGTTAATGTTTTTCATATTGTTCTTATAGTCTGTGTGTTAACAATGTATCTTCCCATTGTGCTTTCTGCTCAGAACTGAATAGCTGAGGAAAGAAAGTAAAGTATTTTGAATCTTATAATCAGATATTGGGATTGTCTTTTTGTTGACCAGATAACATCATTTTAGCTTGTTTTTAATGGGAGGACTTTTCTTGACTGGCAGGATGCCATGAATATATGCACATATAAAATGGTTGGATTTCTGTGTTAAATCTTTTGATGTTGGGGGGTGGGATAGCCCAGTGCTAGAGTGCAGGCCTCAGTGCCTCCATTAAAAGAAATTAAATTAAAAAAATTTTTTAAAAAAAATTGAAGTTAATCATTTACAATGTGTCAATTTCTGGTGTACAGCACAATGTCCCAGTCATGCATACACATACATATATTCATTTTAAAAGAAACTTTTGCTCTTAAGAGTTCCAACATAATGTGTTACCGTCAACTCCAGAAGTAAAGTTGATTGGGCAAAAATAAAGAAATAAGGCAAATACTTTGAGTCTTACTGAGCAGGTCCATATTTTAACAAGAATTTAAATCATAATTTACATATTGAAGTTTTCTTCATTTAGTTTTCTGATTATTAAGACTCCATTTATGGTAAAGTGTGTTACGGTGATAAAGTTTTACTTATTTGCAGATGTAATTATATACACACATATTTTTAAAAGTACTTACCTTTTTAAAAAATAATACATTGTAAACTTCTTTCAGAGCATAATGAGGAAAAGTTTTATTATTAGTTTATCTGTGTTCTCTTCCTTCTTTATCAAAGACAGTGCTGATAGTGTTTTATTTTCAAGTTAAAAAAGATTGGTGTGTGATCTGCTCCCTCCCCCTCACCTCCAGTACCATTGATTAAAGCAGGAATTCTTCATCAAGAGTCTGTGCATCTCTGGCAGTGTTGGGGTTAGTGGGGGAGGATTAGTGAGCCTACTGAGTTAAGTGTACAATATGAAGAATGTTCATGTCTATGTGAAAGCGGCTTTCATCAGATTCTTCAACAATGTTGGCCGTGCGTTGAAATTTGGGGTGCTAATTTGTTTGTGGCTGTCATGATATTTTGATTAGATTCCTCTCTAGTTGTTGAATAGTAATATATTAGCTTGCTAGGGCTGCTGTAAGAAAGTGCCACAGACTGGGTGACTTAAACAACAGAAATTTATTGTCTCATGGTTCTGAAGGCTAGACGTTCTAAATCCAGGTGTAGGAGAGGTCAGTTACTTCGAGGTCTGCCAGGGAAGGATGTGTTCTAGGCCTCTCTTGTCATCTTGTAGAGAGCAGCCTTCATGTTCATGTGGCGTTCCCCATGTATGCATGTTTGTGTCTAATTTCCCTTTTTTATAAGGGCACCACTCATACTGCATTAGAGTTCCACCTTATCTGCAATGACCCTGTTTCCAAATAAGGTCATATTCTGAGGTACTGGGATTAGGACTTCAAGATATGAATTTTGAGAGGGACACATTTTAACTCATAAAGAAATAATGTGACGCTTTTAGTGGTGATAAGTGGGGCAGAAGAGTAACCCTCAGTGGGTTGATTGTAGTCAGTTATGGTACCTGGGGTACTGGGTGCCGTGTGGTCCAAAGCAGAATTAGATGACTCCTCGAGAAATTTTACTGTAGTTAGTAATGTCTAAATTAATCAGTACAGCTTTCATATTTGGGCCATGGAATATTAAATGCCTTAATATTTCATCATTAAAAAAAGATATTTAGGGAAATTACTGAGTTCAGAACAAGTTTTTATGTGGGATCTGAGGCCTTTGGAATGCTGCCATCCTCCTCTCGGAGCAGAGGTGGTGTTTGCAGAGAGAATTACAGTGATTCACTTTTCAAAGGCCATTTTCCTTATTATAATGAGTAATTGTATACTTTTGTTTTCCTTACTGTAGTAATAATTACATTAGTTCTTACCAGATTTTAGCTGGGCTGGCTTTAACATTTTACTTATTTTAAGATGAACTGGAATTTCACAGTTTGGCTAATCTGTAGTTAGAGCTTTAGGAATCTTTATTCTGTAGGTGAGGAACTTGAGGGCCTAGGTTGGGCAGGATGGTCATGTTGTCAGTTTCTTGCTTTTTTTTTTTTATCATTTAGCACAATGCTTTGTTTTGGTACGGGTATTTGTTATATTTGCTGAATTGATTTGGAGAAAAATTGACAGTGTTAAGACTAATTCATATCCCAGAGACTAAACTTAATTAAAACAATTTTAAAATAAATTTGTAGGTTTTGCTTTCAACAGTCCATGTTATAATGGTAACATCCTCCTTTACTACATTAAGAGAAGATAAAATAAGTCTAGAGTATAAACATTTTGAAATATAAATTTCTATCTGAATCTGTAATTTCCATGGTTCAAAGTTTTTTCTACTTATTCTTAGTTTCATTGCCATCAACTTTTCCTCCCAAGGTCACCCAAAACAAACTAGCCTTGAAGGGCATTTGAGGTGTTTTCTTTTGGTATATCCCTTTGTTTCCTTATAGTTTATTCAACGTATTTCATGCATGCAGACCTTTATGTTAGTTTATTATCTAGCAAGTACTTCTAAAACTAAAGTGTTACAAGGCACAGTAGGTAAATAGGTAGAGGGAACTAACAGTTGGGTACAGATAGTGGTTGGCCCTCTTTATACTGCGGAAATTGGAAAATGATCTCATTATAAAATAAAGATATTAGATTAAGTGTTCCCTAAGTTCTAGCTCGAAAACCATGCAGTTTTGTTAAACGGTCAAATGTTGAAGATGGTGAATTAAGTGGAATGGTTGGGCACCTCCCATGTCTTTTTTCAAACCTGTAGTTCACAGTTTATCTTCCAAATGAACCTTGTTATTTTCATTTACTATAAAATATATGATTACTGTAATTAAGGTGGGTAATTAGGAAGAACTTATCAAATCATGGACATAGTATATGGTATACTGGAGATAAAGAAGCCTGATTTATAGTAGTACTTTCTAAAATGAGCTTCTAAATACTTGAACAGATTTTTCTTGGTTCAGTGTACTTTAAAGAGAAGAGATTGTCATAAATTTTTCTGACAACCATTTATGGATAATTTTACCTTATTCTTTAAAACATAATCTGCTTTCTACTAGTGGAGTTAAATTTAAAAGTTTTTATTTTCTCTTTCCCCCTCATCATATTAAATCAGACCTTGCAGGTGCTGGTCAGGTTCTGTGAAGCTTATGTTGGTGTTGGTGACATTTAAAAAAAAATTGCTTTGATTATGCTTTCATAGGATTCCAACTTTCTTTTCTGGTTTTGGGAGAGATGGTGGTCTTTCTGTAACAAATTACATAGTGTTTCATATATGCCATGACTTTTTTATAATAGATGAAGATGAGCACTTGAATAGCTGTGTCGCTGTTGTTTTGTTTTAAATAGAACTGAATACTTCTTAACTTACAAGGCGTTAATGTTGCACAGATGGTAGCAAAGTACTCTCCTTTGATTTTTAATAAGGGGCTAGTTTGTCAAAGGGATTTCTCAACTTCTGTTATGAAACCTATAATAGAGAATAATTTGAAAGGCACACAATGTACATCATTATAATCCTTTGATGTAGATTAATGATAGCTAAATCACATTTTCTAATTGCCTCCCTTTTCTGTAGTTTATTACTAAGTTTTAAGCAAAACACTTGGCCAGGTCACTCCTTTGCAACATGTGCATCTCTGTTCTTCGATATTTTGTGGTGTGCTCAGAAATATTTAAATTCAGAGGATAGGAGTCTTTTAAATGTCATCATTAAGAAATTTACTATGTAGGGGAAGGACCAATATTTTTCTTCATGAAATGAATATGGTCATTTATCATGTTTAGACGCAGTCACCCGGAAAGACTGCTGTAGCTGTTAATGGTATGATTTATGTTCCAGCAGTGGTGGTGGTTTTGCCTTCTCCAGTCTTAACTTAGTTATGCTGTGTAAAATCCAGAACTTAAAATCGTGCTTGTGTGGTTCTTGCTCACTTAGGACAAGATACATAATTAAAATCTTGAGTAAATTTATTACCGGATGATTAGTGAAATTATCGTGTGCACACAAACTACATGAATAAATGCTCTCTGCATTTACTCCTTCATTAGCTAGGAAATACGTGCTCCTTCCTGAGTCTGAAATTTTGTTGTCTTTTTCAATTTAGATTTTTTAGTTGATTGTGTTGTTACTACCTACAAGCCTTAATTTTCCTTTAAAATGCCTCATTCTATGCTTTGTATGTTTTATAAGCGTTGAGGACGTCAGAATTTGACTTGTTTTTAATTGAAAATGTCATCAGCTATTTTTAATAATCAGCTATGTTCAATAATAAATTTTAAAAAATCAAATACGAGCTTTTACAGCTACCAGAGGATTAACCTTTCAGTCTTTGTAATACTGCGTCTTTCTTAAAAAGTAATTCTTGTAACATTACATTTTGACCTTTTCTCCAGACTTGAG